TATATATATATATATATATATATATATATATATATATATATATATTGGGCCGGCGTGCTCGGTCGCCGGTGGCACACTTGTGCAGGACCGCAGGCCGCTGGACTTCTGGGCTCAGTGCTCGGTTGGACGCCTGGACCGAGCCTAAGGCTGACTCGGGCTGGATTTGGCCCGGTCCGACCAACAGCCTGGTTCGGGTCAAACCTCGATTTCGAATTTTTCTAACTAAAATATAATTTTAAATTTAAAATAAATATATGCAATATTTAAAATATAATGAAAATTGTATCACTAAACAAAAATTAGTAACTCATTTTTCACAAATTAGTAAGTAAAATTATATTCGTAATAATTTAAAATTTAAAATAAAGTAAGTAAAATGCACTCTAAAAATACAACCACACTACGAGTCTCCAAGTAATATAAATACTTCAACAGTGTATCCATGCTTCAATTCATGTGCTTCTCCCCTTAACGATGGCCTCTAAGATTTCGCTCTACTCTCATAGGAGGCCACCTCTTTGACGTCGCCCTCATCAAGTAGGAAACCATACAGGCGAAGGTGAAGTACCCTTCAGAGGTTGATGACAACTCATATATGTTTTTGGACTCGAAACTAAGGCCCCTCAATGGCACAATGATGTTCTAACCTATCGACACTCGGAACTCATGTTAGAATAATCTCAATTAAACTTGAGATTATGTATATTTTAATATTTTTAGAATTATGTATATTTTATAATAACTTAGAATATAATATCTTTTCGATCGATTGCATTAACGTAAAAGATGTTATTCTTTGATTTTTACAAACTACCTAATAGAATGTATGAGCGATAGGAAGAGTCGATGGTAGCAGTGTGCATAGGCGAGAGACTACGAAGAAGGGAAAAAATAAAGAGAGAGAGTAAAAATATAATTCAAAGGGGTTGTGAATGCTAAAATATTATTTTATTATTTTTAAATGAATTATGAATAGTAAGAAAGAGTATCGAAATAATAAGCTTCTTTCTTTTTGTTAATATTTTCATAATGTTATACCAACTTGGATTCATTGAGCTTATTGAGAAAAATGATTGCACATGAGGTGAGTCGATAGTGGATGGTTACTAAGCATTATAAACAATAATAGTTCTCATACAATAAATAAAATCGTACAATATATCTTAATCACATGCATAACTATTAAGCGACATCCACCTAACGTACTCTATGAGATGTATGTTATATCTTTTTAACAGTTAATGGAGAAGAAAACACATATTACACTCTTAATAGTTTGACAAAATGGTGTCTCTCATTCGTCATTTTAAGGGACACAATCCTTCGAAGAACATACGAATGAACCATTTAAACACCCTCATCTTGTTCCTTGCACGTGTTGTGCACGTGACCTCGGACCAAGATCCATTGTGGCTTAGCCCAATACCGTGCAGGGCCCAACCTTAGCCCAATTAGCCAGTTTGAACAATTGGAAGTGGTTCACAGAAACCTCTTCGACTCAAATTGGATCCGAGGAAGTTCAAATTATATTAATTTAGGATGATCCTAGAGTGGTTTTATGAGGATTTCAGATAGGTTGGTTGGTTTAATTAGATTATAGTTAAATTGAGTATGGTTCGAGTCAATTTGACCGATTCAGTTGAAGTCAATTACGGTTAGAGTGTGACTCCTCGTATTATTGATGTTTATTAGTTATTCATATGTTTTACGAGTTTACATTATAATATCTTGTGATTAACATGTTACCAGATGATATATATGCTCAACATATTGTAAGATAATTATTGATTTACTTGTATAGTAGTATGGTGATTCCTTCAAGAAGCTAATGGGTTATCAAACATAGTAGCTAAAGCAGTTCCTCGATCGGGAGAACGTGTCCCCGGTTTAATGGATAAAGAGCATCACTCTATCAACAATTGGAAGACTACATCAACTATTGGAAAAGTGTATAATCGGGTCTCTGACATATTGTTACGGACTTAAGTAATTTTGCTTAAGTCGTGTAGCACCATTGTGTTAGAAGAAACATTTAACTCGGGGTCTAGATATCTCAACAAACAGTTAATAAGTAACGCAAAATACAAAGATAGATTTCATAAGTTTTGAATGATCATACAATAAAGGTCTAAGTTAGTCTATCACAATCAAAAGTCTCCATAAGTATCAACAGGATATTATTATGGAATAAAATAATGAACAAAACTCCAAAGGTCCATCCAACCTTGTACCACCGATATAGCTATAGGGTTAGTTTATCACCTTGTGTGGCACTTAGATATACTCTTAGTATTGGCAAATCACCTTAGACCTTTTGTTGCATGATCATTCAGAGCTTGTGAAGTTTGTATTTGTATTTTTTATTATCTATCAAGTGTTTATTGAAATATATTTTTGTTCTACTCTAATATCATGTATCATATACTTAATAGGTTTTGCCTAAGTCATGTGACACCCTTGTATATCTCTTTATAGGGTCAGCCTCCTCGTAACATCTTAGGGTCCTACAAGGACATGCAAAAGAAAATATTAGTTAGAAGAAGCGTTTAATTTAGGATCTCAGATGCAGATATTTTAGTAAACACTTGATAAGTATATCTAAAATAACCGCAATCCAAAGCAACATAAAGCAATGAACTTTTTGTTTGAAAAAGTTGATAGGTGAAGATTGGGTCTCAATCTATCTTCGAAGGCCGTCTCGTTTATATGCATTCATTCAACTTATTTTTGAGATCTTTTGTGTCTAATAAAAGTTGATTATTATTTTTATTATTTTAGATTTTAATTATCTTATCCTTTCTTTCGTACGATAATGATAATTACTTGCACATTCATCTTTTTTATGTAAATTTTTTTAGACTATATAAGGTTAATATTTAAGTTGATCCTTTGCAGATATATATTACCTTGCTAGCATATACCTTAGACAATTTTGGATATGACAATATGTCATATATTTATGAGACTAAAGAAATAGTATCAATCTCGTTACCGAAAATTAGTCACTAATATTATGATAGAATATTTTGATAGTATTTATAACTTTGTACTCAACTTTATTTGATTTTAATTATTTTATTTTTCAGAATAACTTGCTAATTATAATATGAATTATGATGGAGAGAATCATCATCTGCCACTATAGGATATTATATATATATATATATATATATATATATATATATATATATATATATATATATATATATATATATATATATATATATATAGTTTTAATATAAGTCAATAGGGCTTGTCAGACCCTACCCTCTATGCCACATTTGAAATTTTGATGGATGTGGCAAACCTCAATAATCTCATTCTATTATCCACCGGATAGCAAGTTCTTAGATTAAATATTATCCTCACCACTTACCAAATCTTTCAGCAATATATAGAACACCACAATGGGATTTTCTTAAAATTCTCATAATCCTACACGACACATTTTATCTCCTCAATGATGTAATAATAATAATCATAAGCTAAAAGTATTGACGCGAAGCCAAACGAATCAACATCAATGATCGATATGTCTCTACATCAATCAACGTCGCCATGATCAATTAGCGTGTTTCCACGTCAACGAACAACGTGCAACTTTGAATCCACACGAAGGTAACTCACATCTGCGTCCGCATTCATTGAACCGCTTCTTCCTGCCTACTAAAAGAAAACAAAATGCATCTCATGACTTAGGAGCAAATCCAAATCATCAAAGGACAAGGAGACATATGCATGCATTCAAGAATCTTTCCACGTTTTTGATTTGTATGCAAGCTTCATCGAATTACTTTGTTTTTTTTTTTTTTTGTGCATGTGACCTTAAAGCACTATTATAAGGAAATAAAAACACAATTTCTCTATTTTGTTTTGTATTCGTTTCAACTTCCCATGGTAAATACATCAAATATGAGTTTTGCGTTACGTAAACATTCATAATACCGATAATACAGAAGAAAACTTTCGATACTTATTGTTTGAGAAAATAAAAAAGAAAAATATAACTTATGTATTATGTCGAGTATGATAACGAATCATTCTCGATGAAATTAGTGTATTGGTAGGAAAAATATTCATTCAATCATAGCTCGACGGAACAGTCAATTAGTCGAAATAGGCTCAGTTAACAATTCGACCCCATGAATATCAATTTAATTAATATAAAATTTAGAGAAATATTTTGTTCATACCATAAAATATTTTCCTAGGTTAAGCCTACTAGGTCATTATAATCGAGGTTAGTCATTATTTACTCAAAACTCTTTGTCTTCCACCTCGAAGCTAAGTAGAGCATTGGAGAAAGCTCGTCGAGGCATCACATCTGACTTTGATATTTGTGTACGTCGATCCATCTAACGAACTTGTTGCACGTATGGCCCAGAATCAAATCCGATTGATTCGAACATCATCAACATCTATCACACCATCTATGTTTATCTACCATCTATGTTTATCTAGACTACTTTATCGAGGACGATAAATTCACAAAATCTTTTGTGTTGTTCATGTTCGAACCCTAATTTACAAGTAGTTGTTGTTAGAAAATAAATAGATAAACAAGTTGTAGAAGAAGTTGATTGTTATTAACATATCCCCCTTCCTTTTATACAGGTTAGAAGCTTTGGGCTGCTGCTGTAGATTGCTGCAGCAGATTGGGCAATCTACAACGGTGCCCAAAGCTGCTGGCAGTTGCTGTGGATTGCTGCTTGCTGCAGCAGATTATAGAGGTTGCAGTTCGCTGGAAGATGGGCGCGAAAACTACAGCGGTACTCAAGACTGCGGATCGCCGGGAAATGACCACGAAAATCTGCAGCGGTACTCAGGGAAACTGCAGTGAGAGAAATCTGCAGCAATTAGATGTATAGAGGAAAGCGACAGCGAAAGCTGCTGCGGTAGAGGAAGGAAGATGCAGCGGTTGCGGCTGCTGCTGGCCAGGAAGCGACTGCGACAGCGAAGGAGGAAGACACGACAACCGTCGTTAAGCAAGGAAGACTGAGCGAGGAAGACACCGTCGTTCGCCGTTCGTCGCTATTGAGAAGGAGGACACTGCCATTAAGGAGGCGCCGTTGTGTAGAGGGAAGCGATAGCGAAAGCTGCTACGATAGAGGAAGATTTAGCAGTTGCGACTGCTGTTGGCCGAGAAGCGAGGAAGACACCGCTGTTCGTCATTCATCGCTATTGAGGAGGCAGTGAGAGAATGTTTTCCTCCTTGCGTGACGGTGACGGAGAGTATCTGCTGTAGGCAGCAAATAGGAGAGGGAGTAAGGCCGACGATGAAGGAAGAGAAGGAGTGGATGAGCAGAGCCAAGACAGTGCGACGATGCTCGTTAGCACCGGCTCTGAATCCGTGTCTTGTACTTCTTCAATGACTCCGCTTGAGACAGCGTGTTACTGTGGCCGCTTGGCTAACACACGGCGATACTGCTGTCACCAAGGAGAAACTGCTCTGATACCATGTTAGAAAATAAATAGATAAACAAGTTGTAGAAGAACTTGATTGTTATTAACATATCCCCTTCCTTTTATACAGGTTAGAAGGGAGAATTTTCCTCAACAGGTTAGAGAATTTCCCTCAACAGAGTAGAGAGATTTCCTCAAACAGTTAGGGAAATCTCATCTACTTATCAGTTGTAGTCTAAGATTAGTTATAACTTTAGGAGCCACAAATCATCGCAGAAGAGCAACCCAATTAGCCGAAGATGGTCAAAAGTGTTAGAATATTAAATTAAGCTTTATCTTATCTTTGGTATTAGATTAAGAGTCTACATCATATTAATACTGAAGTCGGCATCAGAATTCACTTATTATACGAAGATAGGTGCTTAAAGGATGCACAGTGGTCCACTTGGGATTTAAAGATGAATTTGTCGACCGCTGGAATGAACTAAACGAACGAGCAGTGTCGAGGTATGATATGAATGTTATGAACAAGTTATAAATATCTTTTTATCGAGATATGATGGTTTTAGATAGTATTAGGGGAAAATATTATTGGCATCTTGGTCAATCCAATAATTTAGACTAGTATATGTAGACTTATCCGAAATGATTTTGATATGACTTCAAGATGGATCTGAGATGAAGGTGTTGAACTCCTAAGGTGAAAGCATTGCATCTCCAATGTGAATCTGAGGTGAAGGTATCAAGCTCATGAGGAGAAAGTATTGTACTTTCGAGATAGAAATATTATGCTCCCGAGATGAAAATATTTTATCGAGAAAGGTTTTTCAACTCGGTCTTTTTGATGATCAAATTAGTAATAAAATGTTCCTAAATATAAACCCGAATAGTTCAAGAAAAGAGAAAGTCTTTTCCTCTTTTTCTTATCATAAAGGAAGAGAAGTGATATTAGGATAGTCTTTCAAGTTTATGATTATCACTCGATAATCACGTATCCGTTGATAGTAAATTTCCAATCAGGTAACTCAAGTCTTAACACAAATCTCTCGAACTGGATTGACTCGTTCCACATTAATCCTTAACGTATGTTGAGAGAGAGAGAGAGAGAGAGAGAGAGAGAGAACATTAGACTGACTGTGTCACCGTCGAAGCACGTAATCCCCGCACTGGTTGAAGCCCGCGCGGCCGTCGCCCGCCGCGGCGCGACTAAAGAAAGCACGACACGTGCCGTGCAGAGGCTGTCGGCGGCGTCCCTTGGCCACCTCCAAAGGCCGTCCTTTCCACGTACTCATCCCCACACTAAACACACTACGACCAATTGGTGGAAGAGAGAGAGAGAGAGAGATCGCCAGCTCGGTTTGGTCGGTACAAGAGAGAGACATGTCCACATGAGTAGATGCAAATAGGATAACGTTGTTTAAAGCATTGTCCCCATCCCCGATTGAGAATCTGTGAGGTTGCTTTGACTTCCACAGGTTATGGCTTTGGATTGCCTAACAACGTCAAGCATCACGCAATTCCCGTGCTCAACTCTAACCTTTTAACATCGGGGGTTGACATTAAGAAACGGAAAACAGTAGCCGCCAGGTGTCAACCTACATTCATGTTGGTTTCTCGTTTGGATTTTGGACACGTTTAGTTCGTTGTTCGGTTCATGTCGAGCTGACCAATGAAACGGTGATCTCTCATGACCTAATAATCCCTTCTTCCTAATTGTCAATGCAAACCTACTCTTTTGTCTGAGTTGCAATTATTTGTTCTTGGAGTGGCTATATATTTCACGTAATCGGGTCAAGTTCGCTAGCCATGCATCCATTGTAGGTGGGTGAGCAGAGTCGCTATTTAGCGGCACAAATGATGCTGCCAAATCCTAATTGCTGAATGCCAGCAGATACGAGACAAGTGCTTAATTTCATTGTTAATTGCAATTCCACATACTAATTTCATGGGAGATTAGGTTCGACAGTCTTCGATCATAAATCGACGACTTACTTGGTCCGATTCTTATCCCCCACCTGTTCATTTCCTAATGCATGTGTGCCATCCAAATGGAAAGCACAATACCACCAGCTCAGATCAAGTCATGTCTCTCATGATCCAAATATTATTATTATTATATTTCATCAAGTCACACCGTACCAGATGGTGTAGTGCAATCATTTTATGTTTATTTTATTTCTAAAAAGTGATGGATGAAGATGAAATTTGATGCTAAGATTGTTAGACATAAAATTTGGATATCATTCACATGAGAATAATTAATAACATGATCGATATTTCAATAATATATAGTCCATACTTTTAGAATCATTCGATTGACGTATTAATGTTATAGGGTTGATATCTTGGTATTATGTGATCAGTACCTTAATTATGTGGTCGAATGGATTAAGTGCTATCATATCGTGGGTTCATAGTTAAGTCCGTAAGAGATGCATCACGATCATTGTTAAATTCAATAAAATTTTCTATCGAAGTAAATGTGTTCAAAATGTATTATAAAAGTATGTTCCAATATACATACATTTCTTGTATAGTCAATATTTTGAATCTCATATTAACTTAAACGAGATTTTAATGTAGTTTTACAATTGTTCGAATCAATTAGACTCGAAAAATGATGATGTCGGCTAAAGTCATTTTGGTACGATCGTAAAAGATTAGTCTCGATTGTCTTTGAAACATCATTAATCTTAGATAATTAAAAATTAACTTAACAATCATCAAATAAAAATAGATGGTTGAATGTTAAATTTTAGAATAGAAGATTTGAGGTCAATCGATGATATACTGAATTAAATTATTTTTTAAGAAAAAAAATGGTGAAGATCATATTTGACTAAGTTAATTTTAATACACCACATTAAATACAGATAGCTTTCTTTCAAACAAGCTTAGCTTATATAGAATTTAAATAAGTTAACTGATACATTAACTCATGATGTGTGTGTATATATATATATATATATTACAATTTAGAATGAGGATTCGAACTTCGAGTTAAGGTAATTTATATAAACCAAAATTAAGATAAGGAGGATTCGAACCCTTAATTAAATCCACGGAATTAGGTTAGATAGATAAATCATTATAAATTAATTAAGAAAAAGGGGGATGAAACACAAATCCAATAATTACATCAGCACCGACGTACACTGTTGTAGCGTAGTGGAACGCCCTGCGTGCGTCGCGTTGGCTTCCTTATCCTCTCAGGCTTCCTCTTTTGGCGATGAAGCCCTACGGCATATTCCCCATCTCCTCCCTCACGGGGCTGTGGCCCACGCAGGGCCGCCATAGACGCTGCTGCTGCTGCTTCACCACCCACGTGCTTCCTTCGTGGTCGCAACTCCTTCCCTGTCTCCGAAGGAAAGCAGTCATCATCTTCGTTTCCGGTGGGCAGAGACGTCCATGGGCGTTGACGTCCTGCAGGCGTAGCACGAGAATTTTTAAAGAAGAAGACCCCGTTAGATTAGCCTGCTGCAGTAGAACTACTCGAGCGGGCTATTTGAGGAGGGTCTTTGCTTGCCGGTACCTGAGCAAGCACCTGATGGCCAGAAACAGGCGTGAACGAATGTAGAGGAGAGAGAGACGTCACCAGCAGCCAGATTAGGGTTGTTTTCTTGTTCTTGGAGGTGGTCGAAAAGGACGAGCCACTGCAATCAAATTTATCCGAGAGCTTTAGGAAATATCAATTTTCCCGATGGGCACTTGAATCATCCCGAAGACACAGACTTACAAGTGGCATTCGCATTTTTAGGGAGAGAAAGAGCTTATCTCCGTTCGTGACGTTACTCCGTCGCTCGCCACCATCATCTATTTCTCCGACGTAATGAAACATTAACACGACTCTTAATTTACTCTACTTTAGGAAGGTAGAGGAGAGGCAGAACGACGACGGAAGTGCGGTTTGCGAAACATCTGCCGATTTGATTCATTCCATGTTCTTTTAATCTCATCGATTAAAAAGAATTAGGGATTTGATTCGTTGACCCAAATCAAAATTTCCCCCTAATTTAAGTATCTGTTGATTCAAAATTTCACATTTGATTTACGGTAAAAAGATTTCCCAAATCAAATTTAATTAGGGATCTGATTTGATTTGCGTGAACAACATGTACTGGCTGGCCGAGTCAGCAGGACCATTAGTACAGACAGCGGAGCGGATAAGCACAATAATTAATCTCCCCCCTCCCCCTTGGCCGGTAGCCTCTCATTTGCGGATGCGGATGCGGATGCGCCACTCTCCGCGGTCCGCCCTTTATATATCCTTTCACCGCGTCGTCTCTCCATCTCTCTCTCTCTCTCTCTCTGTTCTCCGCTTCCGTTACTTTCCTCTCCTGCCTTTTTGCCTTCTCCGAAACCCAATCCCCTTCTTCTCCTCCTCCCCCGCTTCCTCGTCCCACGTGGATCACGAGCGATCGCAACCCAACCCCGATCCATCCATCGCATACAGAGTAGCATCTTTGGAACGCAGAACAGCGCATTAAGGAGCCCGAGGTTCGGATCTTTTCTTCTTGGTTTCTTTTCTCGGGGGTTTCCCTGGGTTTCTTTGGGGGTGGGATCCGTCGTGAATGGCGATGGAGGACGCGACCGAGAGCTGTGGCAGCTGGGCGGCGTCGGATTCGTCCCAGGCCCACCACCGGCAGCAGCAGCGCCATAAGTTGGACGTCTTCAACGAGGTCCTCCGCCGCCTGAGGGAGGCTGGGCGGCCGGAGGTGCAATCTCCGTCGTTCGAGGACGGGTTGTGGAACCACTTCAATCGTCTTCCCGCTCGGTACATCTCCCGTCCCGTCCGCTTCCTTCGGTTTCGACGAGCCTCCGCCCCGCATCTTTTCGTCCTCTTTCTTGGATTCTTTAGCGGTGCCATTGACTCGTTGATCTTTTGATCAGGCTTCTTTATCGGTTTTACCTCTGGTTCATGATTCCGCAAGGGTTTTGTTCTCGGTTCGTTTCCCGAATGACCCGCGCACTAGTGCTGTTCGTGGGAATGCATTCTTAAGCACCTCGTCCTGAGGATTTGACCCGGAAGTTGAATTGCTTTGTCGAGTTCTAATATGCTGTTGCTGCTACGAGTTCTTTTCGTTATGGTTTTACGGAATTACTTATCAAGATTCTGTAGATGGACGAACTTATAGCCAAACTCGCCGATGCACCTTAGGTTTGCTTTTTGGTAAACCTTGTGGCCGTGCTTTTTCCCTGAATGAATTATCCTGTTGCAGTTATGCCTTGGATGTAAACGTAGAGAGGGCAGAAGATGTCCTGACTCATAAAGAGTTGCTGGAACTGGCTCAAGAACCTGCCAATAGGCCGGTCTTTGCTGTACGCTTGGTGCAGGTAAAAGCTTCAACAGCTTTTCGTTCATTTGGACGTCAGATTTTTGCTTTGACTTTAAAGTATTCAATCAAGAAGCATGTAGTTCTGATGGATTCGAAGCAACCGCATAGGGCTTTTGTTGCTCTCCATCTTTGATCAACATCTAGGTGTTTCTTGGAGCCATCCAGGGCCTTACTAGCTGAAACAAACATTATTTACCCAGACAGTATGATAAGCACAGTTCCTTTGCATGGATTTCCAGTTGGAGCCCTTCTGCGAAAGGGCTAGCATGTGTCACATGACTTTAGCTAATCTTTTGCACGCTTGTGAGTTAAGCTAATTGTGCTCATATTACTGTTGGATGGTAATGCCATCTGTAGTGTGCCTTAATCGGTTTTCATTTAGCAATTGCTTTAGATTCCGATTTTGGTTTAGAGTTCTAGTATTTCTGATATTAATTATCAAGGTTTTTGATGCTTCTCTTGTAGCATATCTGTTTATTTGTACTTGGATCATCTTGCCTCTGTAAATTTGGAGCATGATTTTGTTAATTTTTATGGGGCCTAATAGGTTTTACTTAATGCGGTTGCTGCTAATAACTGCACATGTTTTTAAAGGACTGATATCCTTCATGTGCAGATTACAATGTGATGCTGTATGTGTGTGTGTGTGTGTAAAGTATATATGTATATATTTTGGGATTACTTGAGATTAGGCCGCATCTAATTCAGCCACTATTTATTGCTGTTGTCTGTCTGACAAACGTTCACTATGTAGCTCCAGGAAACTTCTGAAAATTTGTTGGTTTCTGGGTAGTTATCCACATCTATTACTTTATAGTTATTTAATTGGGTCCTGTTATGGGTTCTCTGGTGATGCCTTTTCTTTTTCAAATTTTCTTTAGTTCTTTTGGGATCTATCATCTCAATTAAAATTTCTTACTGATCGAAACCTTATATGATGTACTAGCTTGAAAAATTCACTACTTTGTGCTTGCTCAAGCTAAAATTACAGCTGAAAGAACTTACATGAGAATATGTTAAATTGAAAAAAACGTCAACAGTTCCGATATTACCTTGCTAGGTAAATTCAACTCTTCAGGACTAACACTTCTGATCTTCATCAGTGAATAACTGTGGAGGCCAGAAATATTTCTACTTCACTAAGCAATGGTAGAAACTAAATGATATTCAATTCGTTTACTAAATGAAGCAGGACTTTCATGCCACCACTTTTGTTGGTTTTCATGACAGAGTTGCAGCAGACTTTGCACAGAAACATGTGTAAATATCTGTGTATATGCATGTATAGCATATGGATGTATACGTTTATAGATATGCATTTTACCCTCTTAAGGTTTCGAAGGGAGCAGCTATTTTTAAGCTCGACTATACAATCTGCTTGGATATCTATCATGCACATTTATGCTAAAGTTTAATCATAAAAGTTAACATTTAAAACACATGTTTTATGTCCTGTCTCTTCTACTCTTTGTTAGGTTATCTTCCTCATTGTAGTTAGACTATTTGTAGCTAACTAGTTATCCTTTAACTTGATAATTGCTTCTTAGGTTTCACCAGTTCCAGATGGAAACCAGGCTGGTCCTTCTGATTCTAACACACCAGGAACAAGAGATGCTCAGTCTACTTCAACTTACTTTAGGCAAAGGTGCAGTTATTCTTTTTTTTTCTTTTTCTGTTCTCCTGCTGCATGTTTTCCTATTATCGAGATTTTCTTTGAGTATGTTTTTGTTTCTCTTGTAGCTTATGTATGTTACCCATGCATAGATTCCCACTTCTCTACATTGTGCCTGTTGATATATCCATAATAATGTTTTAACACACCCATACGATCCTCAGTGTTCACCCTCCTCCTGCCTTTGGTTCGTCGCCTAATCTCGAGGCTCTTGCTCTTGAAGCCAGCAGGCAACAAGCTCAAGATGGAGACAGTGTCGCCAATGCTCCACACCTTCCCAGGTTCTTTTTGGTTCTGTCCTCTTTCTTCATGTTGTTTCATGACTGTAACTGTAGAATAAAAGATACATGGACTTCATTTTATTTACGAACACACCAAAACTTTCTCATAAATCAATTATTGCCCCAGTTGACTACCATTTCAATAAGATTTAATTTTTTTTATGTGCTAGCTGCACTGTATTCAATGAAATTGTCAATCCTGTTTTTGATGTGCTTTGCACCATTCGTCTTCTATTTTTCGGCACTATGAAATATTGATTTTATTTTGTTGCAGGCCAATGCATGAAATCACCTTTTCCACGCATGACAAACCAAAGCTTCTAAGTTTGGTAAATTAACTGCTTTCCCAGTTGTATACATGTTACATGATTTTCTTCATGCGTTTACAAATTTGGAGAATGCTTGTCTTGTGAACACTTGCTAAATGTCTTTTGATTTGTTGCGTTTATTTGTTCAGCATGTTATACCTGTGTGATATTTTATTCAAGAATTGTATATTTATGAGACGGAGCTTAGCATATATGACACTGATATGCACTACCTCCATTGGCTACTTCATGGGATTTAGTGCCTCGATTGTTATACCTATGGTTCATAGTGATATCTAGCTTAATTGGATTTATCATCATTAACTTGTAGTTCATCCTAAGATACTTTATCATTTATGATGATTGAGCAGAATAGTCTTTGATCCCCATTTTCTTTTATGAAAATCTGTCAAATTTGAACTGTTCTATCGGAATGATTTCCTGTATTCCTATTCTAGAATGCTGGCTTATGCTTCCGATCCTTTATCTTATTATTATCAGGTATAGCTCGTTTTTTTGTCTTGGTTAGACTACTTAAGTAGATTCAGCCACCGACTGCATTCTACTTTGTGTACTTTTCAATGTTCGTAATCTAGAATGACTAGCTTATTCCCCTAATCCTTTTTTTATTATTTCCAAGTATTACTTGTTTCTTTATCTTGGTTGGGCTGCCTACATGGATTCAGCCACCAAACATCCTGCATTCTATTCTTTGTACTGCTTTTCATTTTAAGCATCCGGAAATAGGGTGATTTGGTTCTAAACCGGATTTTATTGATCTTTTCTTAGATTTATCAAAAATTAAGTATTGCTGATATAGCGACCTTAGTCGGTTAGGATCTGAAGAAAGCTACCCGGGTTGGTCAATCCAGCATGTACTGGTCAACCTAGGGTAGTGTCTACATATCCCAGTTCCAAATTCTGAAACTGATCTCGGTCTTTCTAAATGTTCTCTTGATACTCTTTAGGATTGCCTGCTAAAAAATTTGCTTTAGTTCACGCATCTCGTAATTCTTTATAGTTTTATTATTTGAGTTGATTGATCCGGTGGATGGTTTGTGTTTCAAGTTGAAGTATCTTATTTCAAGAAACACACTTTTATATTTTGGGTAGAATATACAGAAATAGTAGATAAAGCAACTTTGGGCATACCTGTTGCGAAGCCAAATATATAAACTCCAATATGAATTAGTTGTAACCATCCATCTTATATTTGATATGTTTAACTCTGGTGGTTGCAATAATTGGCCAACAGAGATATATTGCAATGTAGCTCGTCAAACTTTTTGACAGAGTGGGAGTTGACATCTCTTCCAACTCATGTAATAAGCTTTATAATTTGAGTTATTCATTGCCCTTTCTTCCAAAAATTGCTGTAACTTGATAAAGTAGTTGTCAGGCAAGTCTTATTATTGATTGGAATTTTGGTATTAGATGGCTCTTCCACTTGCTCGAGCTTCACACAAAATTTTAGAAGTTGATATCTTGAGACCTAAATTCATTTTTGGTAGAGTCCACTATCGCTCTGATTCTTCTTTTGACAAATTAGGTTTGGAAGGATACTTTGCCTCCTTTTCTATTCCTTTTGGGTCTCAATTTCTGTAAAGTTACACTGTGGGGTGATTGTTTCATTTTGCAATGAGTTCTTTCTTTTTATGCTCTGCTTATAAACATGCAGTTTTAAGTTCGCAGACTAATTAAAAGATATTGGAATTGTCTTATTCATTCAGTAATACTTACAATATTGGAATTGTCTTATACATTCAGTAATACTTACAAATCACGTTTACAGTTGGTTGCTACTAACTGTAGCTTCAGCTAATCAGATTTATTGGTTCAGAATTCATAAGAACCAATGTATCTGGTGCTACAAGATATGTTAGAATCCATATCTCTACATATATTGTATTTTTAAATTGAACATTCTGCAATTCAGATGCTACCTTACACAAAATTATTTCTTCGGTCCATTGATTTTTAGCTGCTAATGCATGACATTTGATGTGACAGATCACTTTTAGATAGAAGGTATCTAGTCATTTGATATGCTTCTATTGTGTATATCTTTGTAAATGTGTTAATATTTGTATTTCCAGCTGACTTCTTTGCTTGCTGAGGTTGGGCTTAACATTCAAGAAGCACATGCATTTTCAACAAATGACGGTTACTCATTGGATGTATTTGTTGTTGATGGTTGGCCTTATGAGGTACTTCTGGTACTTAATATGCTTATTTTGGAATGTCATGTTAACTGCCACAACGTCCTACTTAATATTTAGTCACATAAACTAAACATGCACTACTGTGATTTTGTCATGTATCCTTCTTTAGGTGTAATGTTTTTCAAAATCCTTTTTATTTAATTGACATTCTGATTTATGTATTTAAGCATCGGTATTACAAAATATACACATGCACAACAATTATAGTCATTTACATGGTTATCAATAGGTAGGAATAGATTTGCGTATGTGTGATGCATTTTAATTACTCCTCGATGGCAGTAGATGCCATCTTTGTCTTTTATTCTGAAGAAGTTCATGTTCTTAAACATAGCTGAATGGTAAAGGAGGTTGCTGCACTGCTTGAGTCCACTGCACATGTAGCAATTGGTCACATATGTGACTGACCTTGCCAAGGTTTACAGTTTCAAATAATATCGCCTGGTATGGGCGGTACGTACCGGTCCGACAGCATATCGGTACACGGACCGCCCGTTACTAGGCGGAACGCTTAACATCGCCTCGTATCGGACGATATGAGGTTATATCGGGCGGTAACGAACAAAATTTTGACTGTTACCGATCGATAACAGTGCTCCAAGGTCAAATTGACCGTTGGAGTCCTTTCTCGTAGGTTTTTAAATTCATCTTCTCCCCTATTTCACTCCATTTCACTCTTATACTCTCTTAACCTATCTCAAACTCTTTTTTTCTTACATTTGCGCTCTCGTAAACTTTACAAAACAACGATTTATGAATTGAATCGAGGCTAATTTGGGAAGATTAAGACAAAGAACTTTCTAATCAAGATATATGTATTCTCTTTCTTTAATTAGAGAGTAATTAAGATATTTAATATTATGATTAGTGTGTTTAATATTGATTAATTTGATATTAGACACTTAATAGGTCAAATATTTAAAGTTTATTTTGTAACAATATAATCTAACAATTCAAATGATTTTTCTGTAGATATTTCAATATTTACAGAAGGACAATTCGTAATGGACCGAAATACGAATTTTGCACAAGGTTATTCTCAAAGTCCGAAAAAGATAGATGATACTATTTTTACCTAATTTACATTGATTTTGTTAAACTTATACTATTACTATATTTATTTCTAACTTAAAAACTCTATCCTAACTTTTTTTTTTTTAATTTTTTGATATTTTCGGAGGATTTTATAGCTAAATTAGGTATATCGCTCAGTACGCCTTGGCGTACTACTCGGTACACATTATTGTACCGTATCGAGCAAACCTCGAAACTCCGGTGCGGTACGAAATTTCAATCCTTGGACCTTGCTTCACTAAATCAGTCATGACAGTTGACAATTCTATGTAGCTGGAATATTGACATAGGGTTAATTAGTTTGATCTGTGTAGTTACATTATACCATTATTATTATTATTTTCTGGAGTACGTGAGTAGTATATGCTAAAATACAGAGAATATTTGAGGTGGGAACACAGATTGTATAGCCTCGGCTGTGAGTTCTGCGTCTATATAGTTATAAGCAAGATTCGCAATACCGTACTGTACCGGTATTTCGACCTGGGCTCGGTACCGGTACGGTACGGTGTACCGAGTACTGTAACAGTGCTACAGTGCTACAGTATACTCGGACTGGTAACAGGCGGTCCACGTACCGACAACCTGTCGGACCGGTACATACCGCCCCGTACCGGGCGGTACAGCTCGGTACGGCAGACCCTGGTTATAAGCCAGTGTCACTTATTAATCTGGTGGTGACCCGTCTGTTTCTCAGTCCTTGTCAAATTTACTGACTTTGTATCTGGGTTCAGTTATATTTTATCTTCTGCCATCATACAAATCATGATGGAATCTACAGATTTTCATTCTGAAAATATTTTTTTATGCATGGATCTTTACTATGTTACTTTCACAAGAGTGAAACGCTGTAGTTTTGATGGTAGGTATAGGGATCTTAATGTTCTGGAAAATCTCTATGATAAAATGAAAAATGCATCAAAAATTTTTCATTTCCTTGTTGTCCTAAATAAGGATCATTTGCAAACTGAAGTGTATGTGTTAAAGAGGATTCATCTAAGCAGATAGAAAGGATATATTCTTGGTATTTAAGTGTAATTAATACTTTCTTATGGCAGTTGATAGTTAAGATTCAATAACCAGTGTGGTTCTCACATAGGAACTCATTAACGTGATGTTTGAGTTTGTTTGTAAATTCTGAAAAGTTGATTTTGAATAGAAACGTTAGTTCTGGTCAAATCTCAACTTGCTATAAGCATGATAGCATATTCCTTCACCTGTTCCAGTTCAATAAATTGTATTCAATTGTAGTTTAGGACAAAAGGTTGTCTCCTTTCTTTGATGGTTCTTTTGAACTTAAAAACATGTTTGTGATTTGGAATGAGAAAGATCTATCCAATTAGCTGGTTTTGACACTTCGTTTAATTTCTTTTTTCTTTGCTATGGATAATTACTCTGTTTTCTTATATGAAATACATTTTTACTGGCTTATTATTCAAAAAGGGACTCATCTCTTTGATAAACGTGCCTTTAGTTATCATTTTGCTATTAATCTTTGATAATTATTCTTTTCTGGGTGATTCTAACATCTTCTGGAAAATTTATAGCATATAAATATATATAGTAATATTTCAGATATATATATATATATATATATATATATATATATATATATATATAT